ACAGCAGTAGTACTGTGTAGTACTGTGTAGTACTGCAGTACCTTGTGAACAGCGATGATCTCTGGGAAGCATCCCAGCAGGCCTTTGTATTCGCTGTTGGTCTCCAGCAGGAAGTAGAGATCCTTCTGAGGCTGCGAGGACACAAACACAAGCCGACTGATCAGGAAGCAGCGCACGAGTCCAGGATGTGAAACCATCATGAATGTGTGTCGACCTGCTGGGCGACGATCTGGCCGATCTCCTCGTAGGTGTTTCCAGCAGCTGTTAAAGCGTCGGTCAGCGTCTCCTCTCCTGCAACACAAACACACACTCGTCCTCACATGTGTCCTCCTGGCTTCTTTGACTCCTTGTCTCTGTGTGTCCTTGCCTCATTGCCTCCTTGCGTCTTTGCCTCCTTGCCTCCTCACCTGGGTATTTGCTGCTGCTGAAAACAGTCGACAGGTTCCTGAATGCTCGGCCGATCCGCTCGTACTCTTTCGGCAGCGCTGGTGAACACAAGATGGCGTCAGTCACATGTTTACGCGTGAACACGTGTTACATACAGCGCACATGCGTGTACTGACGTCCGGTGCAGCGTTTCCAGTGGGTGTGTCCGACGTTCAGCAGCTCTCTGACGCCGTCGTCCATGGCCTTGGTGAAGCGGCTGTACTGCTCACACTTGTGTTCACTGCACACAAACACACAGGTTACAGCCCCAGAGCTCCATCAGCCTCCTGCACACCTGTTGAAGAGCAGACGGACAGACTTACACCTGGGGAGCGTCGAGTTCTGCAGCTTCAGGTTCAATCAGACTGAACATCATCGGGCCCACCGTCTCGTCTTTCTCCGCCTTCCTCTTCCCCGCCTTCCACTCCTAAACAAATGAAAACAACTTCAGTCAATCGGGGCGACACATCCAGCGTCCTCACAGCTGATTGGCTCAAAAGGTCTACCCCGGGGGCGGGGCTTGACTTACCCTCTCGTCTTTGTAGGTGAGGAAGAGCTGAAAGACGTCGCTCTGAGAGACGACGGGGTGGCGACACATCCGGGTCATCCAGGCCTGCAGCCGCTCCATCCTCATCCTGATGAAGTCCTCCTCGAACCGGCCTGACGGCACAGCGACACCAAACACAGGGCTCAGCGCGGTGCAGGGAGGGGCGGGGCACAGGTGTGCTGTCATGGTTACGGCTCACCTGTGACCTGTTTGTCAGGTAGCGATGGGATGGGCAGCAGCGAGTTGAACTTCTCCAGCAGACGCTCGTACAGCCAATCAAAGTGCTTGTAGCGATGATTGACAGGTCTGTTGGTGCTCTGGAGGGTCGAATATGGATACCATGAGTACTACGGAATACTACAAGGAAGTACTGTGGAGTACTGTAGTGCAGTGTAGTACTACTGTGGAGTACAGTTTACTAGTACTGTGTAGTACTGTAGTACTGTGTAGTAGTACTGTGTAGTACTGTGTAGTACTGTGTAGTACTGTGTAGTAGTACTGTGTAGTACTGTGTAGTAGTGTGCAGTAGTACTGTGTAGTAGTACTGTGTAGTACTGTGTAGTAGTGTGTAGTAGTGTG